TTTTCCATAGATTTGAAATTTCAAACTACTTCTTTCTAGGAAAGATCGTAGAGCCTAAAATCGCTTCGCTTTCTCAATTGCAATACGTTCGATTATACTTGTAACTCGAGCGATAATTTTTAAGTTTCTAGTTGTTATCAAAATCTCAGATCTAAATATTCATCTAACCCTTTCTTCTCATACGATGAAAGCCTCGAGTAACTTGGGATGAATTGATTATGCTCACAAAAAAATTAGTCATATGCTCGAACTTAATGTGTATCTCAACTAAAGATTTTTCACCTCAAAATTTCGAACATACTGTCAGAAAAGAATTCGATCTCTTGCCAAATACTAACATCATCCCATATTATTATTGAAAAAAATTAGTCGACGAGTTACTGAATGAAATGTTATAGACGAAAATAGAGTTTGTTACTATTGGAAACTCCAAAAATTTTACACTGTGTCTTTGCAGAACTGAAGTTATAGACTTTCTCGAAAGAACTAATTGCTTAGTTTACACGATTTTTTTTGTCACGTCAGTCATGAATTTCAACCGATCGATTTCAAGTATATGTTTGATAGAATTGAGATTTTCTTTGATTTTATCTCTTTCCATAAAGCCAACAAAGCAATATTTTTTGAAAGCAAAAAGAAGTAACCATTCCAAGTAGTGTTCAGCATTTGTAAGAGATTTCAATTCGATCAAACGTACTATGTTGAAGAAACCGAAGTGCAGGGAGAGAGTGGTACTCTTACACTTTTTTCATGTAAAAGCGCATTTTTGTCAAATGATTGAAAACTGACAGTGTAAGAGACCTACAATGTATACTATCAGCAGCTTTCGAAACTGTCATTGGAAGATTTTTGCATATATGGAATAATGGTAATCTGAATTCGATTTAAATTGAAAAAATTTTCCTTTTAACATTCGGAAATGGGAAGGGTCTCTTCAAGTAATCATTATAATAATTATTTGATTTAGGTTTGTGAAATATGTGATGTCGTAGAAACAGGAAAAATATATAATCTTGGTGTAACACGTACAAATAAAGGTCTTCGTTTAAAGTATAAAAGAACTTTTTTGTTTCTTTTTTTTTTTCTGTACAATATTTTCTCATTTAGACATGGAAATAATGAGCGTATATTTCGACTTGAATATGTATCAAATAATGAAATATCAGAAGGAGAGTTTCAACGTTGGAGAGAAGCAATGATCAAACAAGTAACCAATAAAATCAAACGAATATTTTATTTTTTGTTTCTTTTTTCATGTCTTTAGGGTATTGCATTGCCAACATTAGATGATCTTGAAAAGAAAATGAAAGAAATTGAAGAAAGTAAACATTATGTTTATAATAATAATGATATAACACATATAGTACAAGAAAAAAAACGATTTCGTAAAGCACCAATAAATTATGCTGTAACAAAAAATGAATTATTAAAAGAAATAGTATATTAAATAGTATATTTTAATTGATAAGAAAAAAAAACACTTGCATTTTTTGTTTTTTAGGAAATAGCAAAAGATGAAAATGATATTGAAAGAGAAACTGAATTAAGAAAACAGCTTACTGAAATGGAAGAAAGAGCTTCAGAACTTGATCGTAAAAGATCAGAGAATATTTCTGTTATGGCGTAAGTAAAAATACAACAAAAAGAAAACGAGAGAGTGAAAGAACGAAAGAAAAAGAGTGAAAAAGAACAGAACCAGTAAATATGAGGTCAAAAAGGAAGGCAAAAAAAAAGGTATGAGAGGTCGACAGCTGCAATGTAGTCGGACATTGATGTTCAGTAAATATATGCGTTATCGATATATTAATCGTTATGCGTATTCATTTGTTATCATTTTCTCGTTTTGCTGGATTATTTTTCGTTGTAAAAATAATTGCAAAAATTGTCAACGAATATTAACGAAGGACGAATCAATTGGAACGTATGATATACCGAATATAGTGCATTTTATTACGGGACAAGGTGATTCATCAGATGCAATTCTTGATCGATATGGTCCACGTCTTGGTTTTCGTCGAATGGAACGAGCTCCTCCTGAATTTCAATTAATAAATTATCTCGTTCTACTTTCTACTCGTAAACATATTAAACCCGATCAATTATATGTTCATTATACTTTCGAACCAACTGGTTATTGGTGGTTAAAAGCTAAACAAGATCATGAATTAAATTTAACACTTAATCATATTCCTGAAATAACATCAATCTATAATTATCCATTATATCATCATGCTCATCGTACTGATATTGCACGTTTAGAAATTCTTGATAAATATGGTGGTATTTATCTTGATTTAGATGTTCTTATTATAAAATCATTTTCACAACTAATATCTAATCCATATAATGTTGAAGCTATATTTGCTTGGGAAAATCAAAAATTTAATGCTATATGTAATGCTGTTATTATAGCACCAATACATTCAAAATTTCTTCGACGTATTTATCAATCATATCAAAGTTTTAATTCATCTTGTTGGGGTTGTCATTCAGTATTATTAACAGGACAACTAGCCAATATATATAAGAATGAAGTTCATATATTACCTTCACGAGCTTTTTTTAAACCATCATGGTCACATATCGAAGATTTATATGTATATAATACATATAATTTTAAAAATAACTATGCATGTCATCTATGGAATTCTTATGTTGGAAAAATATTTTTATATAATTTAACATTAAATTCTATATTGAAACCTAAAAAAATGACAACATTTATTCGAATGATTATTCATGGTGTTGGAAAAGAGAAATTAAACATGATTGCGCGATAATCTTTTTTTTTTCTTTGTTGAAAATAAATTGTATTAAATTTCAAATTAAGTCTTTTTTTTGTTCATTTTTTTTCTTTTTCAGTCAAATTAATCGAAGAAATCGAGAAAGTACACAAAAAAATATTGAACTGGCTTTAGTTGTAAGTGACTAATTGTGTTTCTTTTTTTAAAGTTTACTTAAATAAAATCTAATTACTATAGCGTGAAGCACAAGAACATCGAAATACAGCGGCAGATCCATTTACACGTCGTCGTTGTGCACCAACGCTTGTAACAAAAGTAACTATTTCAATTAAAACAATATTAATATTGTATATATTGATTTATATTTAGACTCCACAAGTCAATACAAAAGCAGATCTATTACGAGAATTACAACACGAACGACGTGCAATTGAAGCAGCAGCAATGAAAAAACAACTTGATGAACAACGTTTATTAGTAAAAGAAAATATCAATTACGAAAAAACAAAACACTTTTAAATATTTTATTAGGCTGAACAAAATAAATCTTCGACAACAACAAATACAACAGCAAAAACAACTACAGATACACCAGATAAAACAGTATGAATTGAAAAAAGACAACAAATAGAAGTTTCGAAATTTCCCAATAGAATTTTCTTATGAAATATCAGATAAATTACATAATGAAAGTGAAATTTTTATAAATCTTACTTAACTTCTAATATGAAAGAAATAGAATAATTCTAGTTAGTGACTGCAGATATGAAGACTAAATTCAATGATCGAAATCTATATAATAGACACAAACTCTGTCGATCAGTGAGTTTGATATATCTTAATCAAATTCAGAGTTACACTAATTCTTAGGTAGAATCAGTTCTGTTTGGTCTTGCATCCAGGTATGAAATTTAATAGTCAGAAACACAATATTCACAAAATATCGAATGGTTTCATTTCAAAGCTAGTTCGCAAAGTTATTCAGTTCGGAAATTGATGGTTTATACTTACAAGATTCTAACTGAACCAAAAATGAAACATTACAAAGTATTCAGAAAATCAACTACATATATATATCTTCACTGTGATTAAACCAAATCAAATGGCTGATTGCTTCTGGTAATAGAGAAGACTTGCAAGTTTATAAGTTCTCTAAAAATCGATAATTTTTGCATTCAATACATAAAAAAGTCCTTTTTGTTTCGAGTTTTGGAAAACAAAATGTAGGGTTATTTTTATTCGTCCGATTTTCCTTTTACTTTATAAATATTTGTACACTATTTTTTGAAAAAATCTGAGTCTAGTCTCAAACCTCGTCACTGCAGAAACTCTAAAATCATGCTAGTCGTATCAGTCAACATTGTATCAAGCTTCTTGATCAGCGAGGAATGTACTAATTATTTAAGTACTATACAGATATTTATCAAATAAGAAAATGACACCATAATAATTATAACAATCCTGCATTCTCTTTTCCGAAACTCGAAAAAATAGACCTTCTTTTTTTTTAATATATTAAATTCGAAACTTATCGGTTTCAGGAGGACTTCTAAACTCTTAAGCCTCTTCTATTAACATAAGAAAAACAGCCATTTGATTTGATTTAACTGCAGTGGAAATATATACATTTTTTTCTCGTAGATGACTTTTCACAGATCCTCTGATATTCATTTCAACTCCGAAATAAAGAAAACAATTCTAAAAATAATGTTTTTATCCTGTGTGAAGGGTAGAGTTCGTCGGATTCAAAATTTTCAGATCCCTTTTTTGGAACTAACGTGAAAAGCACTACTAGACGCACGAGAAAGTAGTACTCCCTTGAAAAATCAGATTCACCCCTCATGGAGTTTTAAATCGACTTTTTCGGAACAGAAAATCCTATAAAAAAAATATTGATTTTATTTTAATTTAAATATAAACATCTTATTTTTATTTTTTTAGCTGTCAGAAAAAAGCTTTACAACAATGACAACTGGTGAACGTGGTTCATTTACATCATTTTCCGAACATAATGATGAAATGTTTACATCTCATGATTTTGAACTTGATCTTAATATAAAACTTTTTCCAGATTAGTAGAATTCTTAAACAAATTTGTTTGATGTTGTTTACTACCTATATCCACTTCAAACATACTCGGTTATCTTTTTGTTTGTTTGTGCTTGTATATGTAAAATTATATAAATATATATAAAACTATAAAAAAAACAAAACAACAAACAAAATTTACATGTATTTTCTTTTCAGATTAATTTAATGGAATATTCAACGCATGTATTTATCCAACAAACACCAATAACAGAACAAAATTTTGAATTAAAGTAAATAGAAATAAACATTTATTTGTTTTTTTTTTCTTTTTAATATTGTTTTATTTAATAGACTTCAAGATATATCTGATCAAATAACAACCAATGGTTGTGTGTGTCCAAGTGTATTTTCATCATTTACAAATCTTGTAGTACAACAAGCAGTTGTTTCATCACGACATATTGCTTTTTTACTTCAAGTAATATTTTTATTTATTTATTTATTTTTCAAATAAATAACAATTTGGTGTATTTATTAATTAGGATGGACGTATTTGTCGGGTATCATTTCGTGTTCAAGCTGATAAAATTGAACCAATACCAACAGAAACAACGAAAAGTAAACCAAAACATATAACACCTCAAACAATACGTCCTCAATCTCGTCAATCGATTCAACGTTCAAGTAATTTTGATCGTCCAAGTTTTGAAAATCTTGTTTTATCCTCATCAAATCCATCTATAGCTGCACATAATGCTGCAGCTGCTGTTGCTAATACAACAAATTCAACAAATCCAAGTGGACAAGTTGATTTATTACCACAATTACAAGCTGGTTATCCATTAAGTCGACAACGACATCATTTAATACGAACAGCACGAGGACGAACAGGTATTATATTTGGTTCAAGACCTTTAATACCAGCATCAAGTGTTCCTGAAGAATTAATTGAACAAGTAATGAAAATATAAAATAATAAAAACAAAAACAAAAACAAAAGAAGATTTTGATTTTGTATCTTTTTTTTCTCTTAGGTTCAAGTTGTTCTTCAAGGAAAATCAAGAAATGTTATTTTAAGAGAATTACAAAGAACGGTAAAATGAAATTAAAACAAAAAATATATATATATTAATTCTTTTGTTTTTTCTTTTCTAAAAATAGAATTTAGATGTAAATATGGCTGTCAATAATCTACTCGCACGTGATGACGAAGGTGATGAAGATCTTGATGATGATTATGTCGGAGGTAAGAAAAAGAAATTCTATTTAGATTAATTTTCATTATTATTATTTTGTTTTTAGCTGATCTCATCTCCTTACTTGATGTTAATCCACATAATGAACATCCAGGAATAATACTTGAATCAGAATTTTTCGACGAAGCTGATTTTGCTTTACGTTATAGTAATATACAGCGTCGAGTTGTTTCTGCTAGAATTGGAAATGTTGGTACGTAAAAACATAAGAATATATTTCATTTATTTCATATAATTCTAAAGTATTCTTCATTGACAAATCATTGAGACCGGTACCAAGAAAACTTTGCCGCGCACATCTCTACTTGAGAAACATAGCGAAAATTTTAATAGCAGTTTTAGCTATTGTAACATTATTGTAAAATCATCAATATTTTCTCAGACAAAACGAAAATTAGGTGTTATGTCCTTTTTTTGGTCTAGGTGTAACTTATTCGTCTGGGCTTTTATAGAATTATAAATTTATCGACCAATTTTCTCGAAAAATAATATAACTGACAATATAGGCTCGGCCATAAATATCTGTGCGATAGAAAATTCAATTATTTTCACTTTTCTCAAAGGAATTGGAATAATTTCCTTTCAATTATCCACATTCACTTTAATACGGATATTAACCTTTCACAAAAAGAAACGTAGAATAGTTCAGGCATATTTTTTTAACAATTTTAACGTCGGATAGTAACAAGAAAACTTAATCACGGATCATAGAACAAAAGATACGATCGAATACACACGTTGGAATATAAAATGTTACATTACTATATTGAAGTAAATGTCGACAATTGAAAGTAGTGTTCATTAACAATTTTCTTCAGTCGAAGGAATTAAACTTCTCAGAGCATAGCCTTTATATAAAAAAATTATTGCACATCGCTACATTAATTAAGATAATACACTGATTTTCATTAGATATTTCATCGTCTTCTGTAATCTATTTCAAAGAATATGAATGAAGAATACAAGACCGGTATTGCCAGTTTATTTCATTCGAGAGTTAAAAGACTTCTTGAAACTGAAATTTTGATATACCACAATGACTCTGAATCTTCTCTCTTGAATGGTGAAAACTACAGACTGATCTCTATTATGTTTCTATTAAAAGTTATTCAAAAACTAGTGGAACATAATAAATTTTGTAATTGACAGTAGTACAATGCAAAATCTTTTATATTCTAAAACGAATCTCCAAAAAACTAAAAATCAAATCATATTTCAATAATAAGAGAAAAAAAAATTGACAAAATTTTCTATTCTAGCAAATAATCCATCTGCTCCAACCGTTGCATCATCCGCATCTGCTGCCATAAGTTCCTCCTTAGGTGATCAATCTAATGTCACGAATTCAAGTTCAACAAATCCTCCATCAACAACAAATTCATCAACAGTTGTAACATCATCTACAAGTTCAAATCCATCATCAACAGCAACAACATCATCAAATCCAACTGAACGTGATCGTAAACGTAATCGTTATGATCCACGTTGGCTTGATGGTTCATTACGTGAAGAATTATTTGGTCGTATTGATCGTGAATTAAAACCTGATGATTTATCTATCGTTAAAGATAATACATCAACAAAAACATCATCTATTCGTAAAGATCAAAATTCATCATCATCATCACAATCGAATCTACCAACATATCAACAACAAACTTCTGCACCAGCATCAATAACATCATCATCATCATCATCATCATCAATACAAAATCCAATTATATTTGGTGATCAATTACAATTTTGGACTGAACAAAATAATGAAAATTCCTATCCACGTTTTACACATATAGCATGTCTTTATTCAGAATTAATTGCCATTAATATTAATGGACAATTATGTCAATGGAATTGGCAAGATGAATATCCATATCAAGATCCTGATAATTTACAAATAAAACATCCAAAAACAATTTTATTACAGTTATTTAATGAAAAAATAATTAATCTATCAGCTAATATAATACGTGCATCAATATTAACTGAAACAAATCGTATAGCAACATGGATCGATGAATCATTAGGTTCCCAAGTTAATTTTAAATTTCAACATACATTACAAGAACTTTCATCAACAATACCATTACATATTGTTGATATTCAAACATCACCATTATTTACAGTTATAAGAACAGATACAAATGATTTATATTGGTATGGTTTATTACCAAATAAACCACGTAAAAAATTACTTGAACGTTTAAAAGAAAAAACACGTAAAAATCGTACAAATAATTCAACACAACAACAACAGCAGCAACAACAACAACAACAACAGCAAATAATTACAATTGGTTCATCTGTTTGTTTAATATCAAATCCATATTATAATCAAGGTGCATTAGCTTTTTATATACGTGATGGACAACCGAAATTAGGACAATTAATGGAACAAGCATGGATGTTATCTAATACAGCACGTTTTCGTATAAAAATTCCTGAATTAATAACAAATAAAAATAAAGAAGATGATAAAAGTTCATTAGAAATGCCACCACCACCATCACCAGCATCATCAACATGTAGTGTAGATTCCAATACAAGTTTTGCATCATCATTAAAACGTAAAAAACATAATAATACAACAACAACAACAACAACAACAACAACGACAACAACTACAAGTGCAACTAATGGTTCAAATCCATTTTTAATGACAATTAACGATAGTGATTCAAATGAACAACAACAGCATAGTAAAATTAAAGATGAAGAATATTGGCCATTAGATGAAGTTGTTTTTATTGAAGATTGTAAAGTAGCACCTATTGGAAAAGTTGTTAAAATTGATGGATCACTTGTACTTGTAAAATTTCCATCAAAAACTAATAATAATAATAATAATGATACGAATGAAACAAATATTGATATGAATAATCTTGAAAATTGTAGAATTCTTCGAAAAGATGATTTACAAGTAGGTTTTTAATTCAATTTATTTTTTATCTCTTGTTAAGACATATATTCTTGATTATATAGACAATAAGATATTTATAGAGGGAAAGCTAATGGATTGTAGACTAACGATCATGTTATTTCTCAATATGACTATAAGAAATTCTTCTAGATATTTATTTGTTGATTTTCTAGAAAAATCAATCAATGAAGACATAAGGAAATTTCTCATGGTCATATCAGCATAGTCAATAGTCCATACGCTTCACTGATTTTTTTGTAGTGAAAAAGCCATTGAACAGTTAAAAACGTTCCTTCGCTAGTTAATAATAAAGACACTAATAGAAAATATACAATAACATATTTTTTATTTCGTTTTTTTACATAATCAGACATGGAACTTCAAATCGAATAGTATTTTAAGTCAAAGCTCTTGACAGTTTGCAGAGTTGGAAGAGGCCAAAAATTTGACAGACAGCCGAGAGTAGTCCGTCGAGCAGAAAATGACTGAGAAAAGCTGCCTTCTTACGCTTGGTAGTAGAGATTATCGCATTGGTTCGGTGTTTCATTGAGAATATCAAAGTACAGGTCGGCTGAAACTAGATCAAGGGATGAACTCTGCGTGACAGACAGTTTTCAAACAACAGCTTCAAGTTTTCGCAGATAAGACCTACGAAGTGATGGAGATCATCGCTACCCTAACTCCTCTCACATTGACACCTACAGTTTGAGTAGCCAATCAAGTTCTCTATCAAATACATTCTATGCAGGGAGTATGAGAGGAAGGTTTTTTTTTGAAAAATCAGACATGGCAATTTTCGGGTCCTAGAAAACTATGTGAATATTAGTTTTTAAGAGTACCATATTAAAGAGTACAAAGTCTTGAATGAAACAATGCACTGTCGAATTTTTTACGATCTTATCATGAAAGTTTCGCACATCACAAAGCAAAATTTATCATAGTGTTGCTTATAATTTATTAGAGACGCTCACAGAAAAGTTGAAAGCCCATCGTTTTATTCAAGACTTTGAGGTTTTTGTGATCGTATCGTAGCAAAACTACTATGCCAGTCTTTTATTTTTTATTAATACCACATATTTGTCGATTGATATAGTATCTAAAACGAATTCTTTTCATATAGATTGTCAAAGGAAATACAATACCGAAAACTCCTGATTGTACTCTATCAATAAATAATGCAAAACGAATCGCATTAGAACATGGAAAATTACTAACATATTCCGTTGATAAAGATTGTAAGTTTTTTTCCTTTTTTTTTTCTTTATCTCTTTTACTAAATTGTATTTTGTTCATTTCTATTTCTTAGATCTTCATACATTACAAATCCGTGATTCAAGTATTTACTATATTATGTATGAAGTTGGAAGTAATAATGGTTTATGTCGTTCAATACGTCAAAATATATTACCATTAATAAATAATCGTCAATCATTAGTATCATTTCTTGGTGGTAATCCAAATTCTATACGTTTATTAACATTAAATTCAATAGATATTCCACGTATATTAATTGATGGTAATCATTTACTTTATCCATTTATTTATAATCAAGATAGTACAAATTTAAAAGAACCTCAATGGAAAAATTTATTAGGAATAAATTATTTATCTCAAGGAATAGTTCCATTAAAAAATGCTGATCATTTAAATAAAAATCATATTATATTAAATATAATGCAAATACAAAAAGGTATATTAATACCACATATACTTCGTTATGATATTGATAAAATACGTTCAATATTAAATGATATTGAAATAAATAAAAATCGTGATCTATTAAAATTAATCTTAGATGAACGTATAGATGGTTTTAGAAATTTATTTCATGCATGTGTTCATATAGCAACACCATTAAATAATAAAGAATATTCAATTAATGATGAACAAATTCAAAATGAAACAAATAATAATCTTAAACGTATTTCATTTGCTATTGATCTTCTTCATTCACAAACTAATACAGATCATAATTATGGTGAAAGAACAACAACAACATCAACAACTAATACATGGTCAAATGAATCTTCAACTACAGATGCTCAACCACCAACATCACCGACAATGCCACCTGGAACTGCACCAAATCTATATAGAGTAAGTGTAACATTCAATCGAAATTTTACGATAGATGTTTAGTAATATATTTAATACTTTTACGGATACGTTTTGATTTTCATGCACAGATGTATAGTGCACTTGACTAACTAGGGAAGATCATCAAATGATAAATAGTTTTCGAGATGAGACTAAATTGAATTGATAGGATTTAATAATGAGGTAATCACCCTAAAGTGATTCCAGCTCTTGGATCTTTATTGCTGATGAGAAAATCTTTCGATGTTTTTCGGATGTTCCTTATTGAGATATCGAAGTTTTACTAGGTTTTTTCGTTAGTCGTAGGTCACGTGGAAATTGTGACTTCAAACTTTGTACGAACAAAGTTTTTAATGAGATTATTTCATTGAACAAGTTTTAGCTTTTCTAGCATTTCCTTTCTAAACTTGTAAATACAATGAGTACCGATGTTATTTAAAAAGATTTACTTTTGAATGTTTTCCATTGCTTCAAGCACTAGAAATAATCCAAACAGATGAAATATCAACGAGTTTTCTACGATCTTCTTTAGCTGAGATACAAGAATTTCATTGAAATTCAACAAAAAAAAAAAAAAAAACATTAGAGCCTTCTGTAAGATTGCTGTATCTCAATTAACAATATTATACTCAAGCACTCTCGGCACTGAAAAACTAGCGTTGTAGTTTTCTAGATTCCTTGTATTTCGAAACTTTTCTATTGGAATTAGCTTTATCTATTCGAATCACTATTTGGAGTCTTTTTAACGCTTACACAAACGAAAAAAAAATTGAAAAGAAATCTTGTTGAACAATTTTGGTATCCTTTGCATTTACATCTAGAGAAAGAAAATACTAGACAAGCTAAAACTTGTCCAATTGATTAATCTCAATGAAAACTTTGTTCATGAAATGTTTGAAGTCGAAATATCGTTTGAAAATCACATCTCTGCTCTAAAGATGATTTTATATAAGACATAGAGTTTTTGTTTTATTTCGAAAATTGAATGTGATCGAGTTCTTTTTTTTTTTGAAGTAAATATGTTTTGGAATACTATGAAATAAAAATTTTTTTTTTCAATTTTCTAGAGTTTATCTACGGGTGCACCATCAACCAATTCTGGTTCATTATCTCCATCATATAATCCAACAAGTTTATCATCAAAAATTCAACAAATTCAATATCTTCAAAATCAATTATATCAACAACCAACACGTACAACTCGTTCGAATTCAAATGATTTTCCTGTATGGTCATCATGTAAATATGATGAACGTGAAAAACGTATTCGTGCAATAAAAATTCTTCGTTTATTACTTGATTATTCATTATTTCAAGAATATCTATTATCATTATTAAGTTTTCGTAATCTTGAAGGTCAGACACCATTTATGTCAGCTGTTAATTCACGTGCATATCATTGTGCTTTAATACTTTTTGAATATGCACTTAAAATTTCTAAACGTGAATCATCTAATGATCAACAAACATCATCAGTACAGTTTTATTTTGAATCACCAACAATAGTAAATGATTTAAAACAATCTGAAAATCTTCTACTTCGAATGATTTATCCATTGACATCAACAAATTCAGATTATTCACCATTATATACAATATGTACAAATGATACATGTTCATTTACATGGACCGGTGAAGAACATATAAGTCAAGCTATATTTGAATGTAAAACATGTGGTCTATCAGGAACATTATGTTGTTGTAGTGAATGTGCTCAAACATGTCATAAAGGACATGATTGTCGTTTAAAACGTACATCACCAACAGCTTATTGTGATTGTTGGGAAGTATGTAAATGTAAATCATTAATAGCTGGTGATCAACAAAAACGTTTAGAATTATTTAAATTATTATTAAATCAAACAAATCTTGTTCAAATACAAAATTCACGTTATGAAAATATACTTCTATATTTAGTACAAACTGTTGGTAGACAAATTATTGAACAACAACAATTTCCACGAACATCAACAGCTGCATTATTACAACAACATGCAAGAAAATCACGTGAACAATTAACAAATACATCATCAAGTAGTGGAACTAAAAAATTACAACATCAAAATTCATCATCAGGAGCAACAACAAATAATAATACTACTACTACTAATAATAATAATAATAATTCGAATTCTACAAATCAAATGGATTTAGATTCAAATAATACTATTCCTGATCATCATTTAGAACCACCACAATTCTGTAAATATATTTTCTTTTTCATAAAACACAATTTTTTTAGTATATAGTTAGTGATCACGAGATATACCTCAATAACATTTCTTATCTTATGTCACAGAATTGTGACAGATGTTGGTTTACGGTCATAAACCGTATATCAATAATATCTTTGTTATAATATATGAACTAGTTTTTTATTACATTTCTGAATAAATAAAATAAAACAATCTTTTTGAAATTAGCAGTAGGACTTACACATCGTGTTTCATATATGAGTTTCGAAATGTTTCTACTAAAAACTTTTTATTTTATAATTAATTTTGTTTTAGGTCGTCGTGCTCTTGAACTTATTCTAGCTGATTGGGCTGGTGTAAAATCAATGCTTTTATGTGGATGTCCAGATAATATAGATCCAACAATAATGAATCCAAAAGAAATATCACCAATTGTTTCAACATGTCCACCAATAATGTCAACATATGATAATGAACATATATTTTCATTAGATCAACAACAACAAACAAGTCAATTAGATCGTTTTACTTATTTTCTTCTTGCTAAATGTAATACAATAAAACAAACAAATTCAACAACAACAACAACAGCAACGAAAAACTCTTCAACAACAACATCAAATGATCTTCTTGATATTCTATTAAATACATTAATACGTGAAATGTCAAATCCTACACATCGTGAAATGGCTCGTTTTGTCACAGCACGTTTTGTACGTAGTGTTATACGTTTATTTATAATATTAAGTCTTGAATCATTACCGGATAAAAATTCTTCAACATCAAACCAAACATTACCATCAAGTACAACAATAAAACGTATATCAGCAACAACTGTAACAGGTGCAACTATAACAACAAGTTCAAATTTATCATCATCATCAACACCTAATGGACCACAATCAATTTTATTTCAATGTAAACGTATATTTCAAACATTAACAATAATATCAATAAATGCACTTGTTCATACAGCTGATTTATTACTTGCACCTGTTCGTCATGGTATAGCTAAACCAACAGCTATGTTTAATTTATTATCCTCACATACAGATATATTACAAGGTCTTGAAGAAGTATTTAATATTGATTCTGAATATTATCGTGCATATCAAGAAAGTAAATCAAATAATTTACAACGTACATCAGAACATAATTTTTCAAATATGGGAGAATTTAATGAAACAATTATTGATGATAATCAAAATATAACAAATCCAATACATACAAATCAAACAATAATTGAATTAAATGAAGATGATGATAATAATTCTGATACACAATCACAACATGAAACAATACATCCAATAAATAATTCAAATATTAATGAACAACAAACAACACGTGAAAATACTGTTGGTTTAAGTGATAATGAAAGTGAAATGGAATTAGAATTACTTGCTGAATCAGATACAGATAATGAAAGTAATCGTAGTGCACCAAATACAAATACACATCGAACATCAGCTACAGCTGGTAGTGAAAATATGGCATTATTTTCTGATGATGAAAATTCAGAATCTGATGATGCTGATAGTGTACGAAGTGATAGTGTTTTAGGTGAAGGTGATGAAACAAGTCAACCAGAACCAATGATATTTGATGATGCTCGAGATGCATTAGCAGCTGCTGCTGCATCATCATCAACAACGACGACGACAACACCAACACCAAATACAGCACCTAATGATCGATTAGTTTTATTACCATCAGGAAATGCTTCAACTGGCTCAAATACACAAACATCAAATTCAACAACAACTAGTCATCTTAATGTACCAAGATTAAATGTTCGATCAACTATGGCCAGTATGTATCCATATTAAGGGAAACATCAACTATTGATCATTGGTTTGAGCACAGATCCAAAAAAGTGTTGTATCCGATGATTTCCAACTCCCACAATGTGCATTTTTTAAGGAAAAGAGTTTTTGAACGAAAAATGCATTAGAGAGAATCTTTGATCTCATTTGTTCGTGACAGAAACTAGGTTTTTTTGGAAAAACCATTGTGAATTTTAGGAATGTTTGAACTAATAGGGCTTAGAGGACGTAGCTAGAAGAACATTCTGACAAAATTTGGATAAATTTAGAGATTGAATGTGAATTGATTGCTCATTCAAGAAAACTAGCCATTCAGACGACACTGTAGAAAAAAAAACGATTTTCTTAGTAATTGAACGTATAATTTAAAAAAATATTTTTTTCTTATTGTATAAGGTTCAGTTTGGAGATTCAGAAAATGTACTTGATTTGTCCGTTGAACTCTCTAATTTGGCAAAGATCAATTTTTAGACGAGTTTGTGAGCAACTTTTTTTTTCGGTTCGTTTGAGGATTGTACGGAAGTTATTTATATCATTAAATAGACTATATTTCGAAGTATATGTCCCTATATATTCAAATCTTGAAAAAGCATGATTTTCATTTTTAAACACATGTCTACCTCTATGCACATTGTGACTTCTCTCTCCATTTTCTCTAATATTCAAATCAGTATGTCCTCTGTCAAATGTCATATAAACCAGGACTTTTCGTTGTTAATTAATATTTCTATTAAACCGAACTCTCGAAATCTCTAATAGAAAAATTCGCGTTGTGCTTATTCTCCATATGTAAAACTATCCTATTGATATTTTCTAAAATGGCTGAGAGCGAAAAAGTTTTGATACAAACAGGAAAGTACGTTTTGTATTTTTTCTTAAAATCAGTTTTTAGACATCAAACGAAGTTTTCCTCCTTTTTTTTCATACGGTAGTTTGGATCCGACTGAACTCTTTTTTTATGAGTATTTCTGTCAAACTACGATGCGTGCTTTTTCTTCAAAATGTTGTTCCTAAGGTATTCGACAGCCTTTAAAAAGTTAGTACCATTGAAAAAAAAACGCTTCTTTGATGGTGCTTTCAGAGTTTTGTTTCTCCTGAGCTTGAGAGACGAAATTTTTGAAAGAAAACGAAAACATATACACCGGCTTGTTTCTATTTCTCATAAAAAATTGCAAGTCGGAAAAATGAAGCATACAGTTTCGGGAAAAAAACGTTTGACCTTTGCAACCTTCATATCTTCTTAAGGGAAATATTTGTGAATTTGGAGTCTATGACAACTTTTGCTCTACTTATCGAAATCTATTTTTCATCCAGCCATTCCCAGAAAACCTCAAAAAGAGTGATCCTTTTGAATTGATTTTTTTGGATTTATTATTTATCTTATTAGGTTCATTATTTGGTGATAGTCATTCTCGACGACAAATAGCACCTATTGCAACAACATCTCCAAGTTTAAATCATTCAACATCTATTCAACAACAACAGCAACAGCAGCAGCAACAACAACAACAAACTCATGTGCAACAACAACAGCAATCACAACCAACAAATACTGTTTCAGTTAATACAACAAATGCATTATTAGCTCGAGCTTTTGGAATTCTTATCCGACAAATAACTGATTTACTTATACGATGGCCATCGATGCTATCAGCTTCATCTTTATATCATGATGTTATGATAACATCAAGTACAGTTGATGAACAAAATGCTCTTGATACTATACAGGTAAATTTACAAAGAAATCTAAGAAAATTATCAATTTATAGCATAGGCAACGAGACTTTAAGTGGCTTGAATAGGCTCAAACATTTGATTCTCGTTCTATCAAATTGATAGAGTTATGCAATGTATCAAAATTCTGAGACAAACATCGAACATTTTCTGTTTTAACACAAGTTGAAAAATTATTTTGAAATCTATCAGGAGTATACAGTGGAAATAAAAAGTACTAACTGTCTTTCTTCTGAATGGTATAAAAAGATTCGCCCTTTTCCTCTTTATTCTTAACTTCCCGATGGAGACCGTATAAATATTGTTGAACGTCCCCTAAATTCAAAACGCTGTGTCTTCTATGACTTAGAGTTTACATAGAAAAAAAGTGAAGCGTAGATTATTTAGGTTTCGTAATAGTATCAATATTGTTCGATGTTCTTCGAATGCACTTATCAATAGAATAGAAGAGGATGATATTTTTTTCTCAATAGCTGTGAAAAATTTTTTTCTTTCCAAATATCACCTGTCGAATCATGTAGGAGCTTGTTTGGGTTTAGAAATGTTCAAAATACAAGCTGCATAGGAAAATCCCATAAAAGAACGGATTCAAAGAAATCTCAAACACGTACTCTTGCGATTTATTGTCCAAATTATTTTATTCTGGTTCAATATCAAAAACTAAGTATAACTATATATATATATGAGGTAGTTAACTATTATTTCCTCATTCCACAGACAATGTTCTAACTGAGGCGAACTTCGAAACCTTGCAAATCTATCCCCTTGTCTGTTCCTAAAGTTATTCTCAAATGTCACACATTATTCGAACCGTCAAGAAACATAGAACAAACTTCTAAAACTTTTTTCAAAAAACTGCAATATTCAATAAGAAAACCAGTTCTGTCTATCACAAAATCATACAAAAGACATCTTTTCATTCAGCAATTTTAATCACCACAATTTTATTCAACAATAAAAGTCATATGATATTTAGAATCAGCATAACAATCAATAGCCTCGTTCATTTTAGAAATGTGTAGGGTAAAGCCCATTGGATTAGTCTCGTGTTTAATTGAATTCGAAAACGTTTGATCAATTTGGTTCGAATCCGAGAAACTTCAATATATTGAGTCCGAAAATTTCGGAACCGAAGTCCTCTGATGCAGGGTACACATTTTCTTACTCTTACTCTGCAGGATTTGATAACCCCGTATATCTCTAGTTCCAAGCCTAGTTGAGGTTTAATTTTTACGAAAAATATGTATCGAAGTGTCTATAAAATTAAAATATAGACCTTTTCTAATTGTAAACAGTAAGACTTTAGTTATAGTTTTTGAAACTGACTGTATTTCATTATGGAAATATATCACTCATTAGGTTAAAGATCTTCACAGCTATTCTATTTCAAAATAAATATTTAGAATGAAATCGAACAATGTCTTTTTCCAAGTTGGCAATGGTTTGCAACAGTAATGGATTCATTTGAATCTCAATTACGTTTTGGTATGACATTAAGTAATTTAAGTCATAATGAACATGATTCAACATTTCATGGAAATCGTTTTCTTAAAAATCTTATTGATCGTGCACAAATTGAAACAAAGAAAAAATCAACAACAACAACAACATCAACAACATCAACAACAAATCGAACAAATAATTTACCAACAAATGGTAAGATCATTTATCTTTTTTTCTTTTTTGTATTTTGCAATAAATCTTTCATTTAATCTTGTTCTTTTTTTCAAAAGATAAACCTGTGAATAATCGTCTTGATTTTCTTAATTATTCATTATCATTAATGCGTTCAACACATGAACATGGTGATCAAGAACCACCACTTGATGTTTTATCATATAAACATTTAGCTTATTTACTTGATGCATTTGTATATTATTTTCGTGAAAATAATTTTAATGAAACAAATCAAATAATAAAAAGTAATTGGAGAGATATAACTGATGATACAACAACAGCAACAACAATAAATACAAATAATGATAATTCAACAAATGAAGAAATTATAACACCAAATAATTCATTTTTTCAACGTTCATCATCAACATTATGTCTTAGTTCATTAGGACCAGATCCATTTCAAATAACAATTGATGATTCATTACCATTAGCATGTCGTCCGCAATTATTACAACCAATATGTCGAAAAGAAGATTTATTTGGACGATTTTTATATGATCAAACAGCTGCTAAATATTCACATTTACCATCACAACTTGGTTTATCACATCGTGAACATTCAATACCAGATTTTTTACAACCAAATTATTTAAATTTATTTAATAATAATAATAATAATGAAGAAAAAATAAATACAAAAACACGAGATGATGATCGTAAGTTAAACCAAAAAAAGCAGTTGAATTTTTCAAAGAAAAAAACAAAAACAAAATTGTATTTTATTTTAAGGTATGGCTGTTGATGTTCTACTTGATTTAAGTGCTGGTTTAATATCATCTAATCGAAAAAGGTTATATTAAGAAAAAATTTGTTTTGTTTATTATTTAGAATTTTATTTTCTTTTAGACAACAAAAATCACATTCAATACTTCTTAATGGTTCATATGAATATTTATTAGCACGATGGAGATTTTCAATTGAATTATTTGTTAAATTATTTTTGGATGATGTTGGAAATGAACCTGGATCAATAATAAATGAATCAAGTGGATTTTCGGCTCGTGAACAACGTTTTCGTCATGATATGGAAAGACTTAAAAATGCACATCAAAAAGATATTCGTTTTGAAGCGGTAAAATAGAAAAAAATATTTAATCGATGTTTTATGTTTTATTTTGAAAATTATTATATTTTAGATGGAACGTGATCGTATATTATTAATACAAAAAACATTTCGAACACTTAATTCATATTATTATCGTAATCAAAATATGAATTCATCAGCATCTGTACCACCATTAGCTGTACAAAGAGTTAAAGTTACATTTAAAGATGAACCAGGTGAAGGAAGTGGAGTAGCAAGAAGTTTTTATTCATCAATTGTTGAAGTAAGTCATATGGAGTAAATTATTCTATAGATATTATTTACAATAATGGTACAAGGCTGACATTTCTTTTTTGTTCTATTGTTTATATGATATCAAACATTGAACTTAATTTCATGTATGGACTATGAGAGGAATATATCTGTAAAAACTAAACATAGTAGTTTTCAGGTTCGAGAAAACTTTGTCGGAGTTATTTTTAACAATATCGTTGTAATGAGCACAAAATCCTGAGTAAAATGAGAGCGCCACATTTCCTACGACCTTCTTTTAAAAATTTATAAGCATTATACAATGACATTGGTCATAATATTGCTAAAAACCTAATTTTTTGTTTTGTGCTAAGAACTTATTTAAGGGAAGGCTGTAGGAAATGCGGCAACTGCTTCTTATTATTCATAATTTTGTGCTCTTTAATATGGTATTCTTAAGACTAGCTTTCACATAGTTTTTTGAAAAGTAAAAACGACTATGTTTGATTTTTTGAGAACCTTCTTCTCATAAGCCATAGATCATTGGCTATTCAAATCACTATTCAGATTTGAGTTAAATGCTGGACACCACAGAAAAAATAAATAACAAATACGTTAGTCCTATATCAGTGATCTGTACTATACTTAGATAATAACAAAAATTTTTATTCACAAACGAGAATGTCCACGTATTCGTTCCATTTTGAGCCGGAATCTTCGTGAATTTTGTAGACCTTCGAGTAATATATTGACTATAAAAAGGATTTCGTGCTCAAGATTCTCCATTAGGATGAGCTCCCTTCAACATGTCCGATTTTTCGCTAATCTTTTAAAGATTCATGTTAATTTTGAAGGGAATCGGATTTTGAAACATTGCTTGTTTTTTTTTCTCAAAAAGTGAATAGAATTGGTATAGATCTCAAGGATGAAAGGGACCAGGTCACGATGAGTTTCGTTTTTCTCCCGCCCTCAGTTACTATTTCTATTACTCCAATGATAAAAACACTTTCTGTCGAATTTTCAGCCCTAAAAATATTGACATCCCTGTTTGTTTCCATAATTTGTTCTTGAGTAATGCCAGTTTTGCACATTAAATAAATATCATCCTAATTAGAAATTTGTGATAGAAGTCATAATATGTAGTTAATAGACATATATCAAATTCGCATTTTTATTAAGATATCATAATCATATTTTAATATTTCGATAAATTCTCTTCTTGAAATAAATAATTTATCTCTCATAATAGGCAATTTTATCCGAAGAAAAATTACCTGTACTTGAATTGGGTACATATGGTGCATCATCAGCTGCTCAATCTTCATCTAGTTCTTTGTCATCACATGCTCAACGACAACAACGTCCATCACGTGAACGTCGTACAACATTAGCAACATATTTACGTAGTGATCGACGTTCATCATCAATGCTTCTTTCATCTGAAGCACGTCCATTTAAATTTACATTATCATCAAATGATACATCAACAACAAATAATACTAATACTAATTCTGAAACAAATATAAATGAACATTGGACACCAAGTAAAATCAAATTAGGTGTTAGTATTTATCCAAAAGTAGCAGCTATTCAACCATTTCATGCTGAAAAAATCACTGGAATGTTACTTGACGGTTTACCAACACCACAATTACAACGTATTATTAATATAGATGAAGATTTAAGAATTAAAGTTGAAGAAGCTATGAATATATTAACATCACATAGTACACGTGATGGACAACAAAATGATTCATTAACAACAACAAATGAACGTTTATTAACAAATAAAAATTCATTATTTGATAAACAACCAAATGAATATGCACCATTATTTTGGCAACCAGATAAAAAAGGTGTTTATGCACCAAGACCAGGAAAATATACATCGGAACGTTTAACAGCTTATAGGAATGTTGGAAGGTAAAAAAAAAAAATTTATTTCAAAAAGAAAACTAAAATGTTTTTCTTTAGATTAATTGGTTTATGTTTATTACAAAATGAACTTTTTCCATTACCATTATGTCGTCATGTGATAAAATATATTTTAAATCGACCAATACGTTGGCATGATTTAGCTTTTTTTGATTCAACTATGTATGAAAATTTACGTCGAACTGCATATGATGCAGAAAAAAATGGACCACAATATATAAATGGTCTTCATTTAACATTTTCAATGACTGTTACAGAAAAAGAGGTTAGCACTTTAATTATTCTTAGAAGATTAATAGATGAATTCAATTTGATTATTTAAAGCTTGTGAGGTACTAAATTAATATTAGCAGAACACAACAGACCCGTTAGTATTAAAATTAAATGAAATTGGTTGCGACGATATGAAGTTCAAGATACCGTAAATTAGAGTTTGTTGAGTTTAAATTCATATTAAGTCTATAAGGACATCTTGGGTGAGATTGTCGAAAATTTAAAAGGATTCATGTCTATGAGCTTTTGAAATCAAGTTAGAATCGTTTTACTAAGGTTCCAACACAGATTTATGTTGATATGGAAAAAGTAAACGATAGTATTTCGACGTAAAGTTTTGCATATAGATATGTCTAATGATTTATAGAATATATTGAAAGATTTACGTCGATATACTGTTTGTTGATTGTTTGATATACATCTGAAGTTGCGTCGAAAATTCAGCAAAACAGTCATAACTTGTCTCCAAAAGCTCACGAGCACGAAATCTTTTAGACATTTGCTAGACTACTCGAAATGTTCTTATAGGCTGAATTAAATTCAAACGGTATTTATTGATTCGATTATTTCTCTCGTAAATTCACATGTATAGGAAATATTTTTCAACGAAATGATAGCATCTCAGCAGTATAAAGAGATTCTTCATTATTCTTCTTATTCTTAACTTTTCGGTGAACATTATTGAGTGTATCCTAAATTCAAAACGTTTCACCGCTTATATTAAATGTTATTAATTTCGTGGCATATCTCGTTTTTTCCTATTTATGTAAAACAATGAAGATAATTTCCATCGCACATAGTAAAGCTTGTCTTTGTAGTGATCCTATGTTTCCTATATCTTTTAAACTTATTCTATAGTGCACTACATTTTATGCTTTTCTCCTTAATTCCTATATTTTTTGAAAATCCATGAGTTGGACTATTCCAGTATATTGTTGATATTTTAACAGAACAACCAATCAACTATGTGATCAAGGATATCGAAATTCGAGCCACCTGACAGATCACTATTAGATAACGGTGTCGAAAACACATTTTCCATTTTTTTTAAAATAAATTTTACTGCTACAAAATTAACTTTTTATCTGTATATATCGTTACTTTTTACACCTGTAGCTGAGTTGCGAATTGCAGTATTCTACTATGGTTGTTATCATTTCATCTATTTTCTTTACATATGTTTCTCTCTTACATGCAATTACTTACTGAATATTGTGTACAATTATCTATTATATTTTCTTCTTCTTTAGGGAGGTGAAACATATGATCTTGTTCCAGATGGTTCATCAAAAGATGTAACATATTCTAATCTTTATGAATTTATTAAACGTTATGCTGAATTTCGAATGATTACCCTTGTTGAACAATCTCTTCAGGTAAATAAATATTTTATTATAGATCTTTAAAACTAAAAACTCAATTCTGTATTCTTTAATGTTGCTTTTTTCTAGCATTTACGGTTGGGTGTATTTGATGTATTACCATCAACATCACTTGATTATCTAAGTCCAGAAGATTTTCGACTTCTTTTAAATGGTACTGGTAATATAAATGTAACAACATTAATGACATATACAACATTTAATGATGAAAGTGGTAAGTTAAAAGGAAAATGAAAAAAAAAAAGAATCTACATCTATACTTTCTTTTCTTTTAGGTGAAACTACTGAACGTATCAATCAATTTAAAAAATGGTTTTGGTCTGTATTAGAAAAATTCAATGCTGTTGAAAGACAAGATTTAGTAAGAATGAAATATTTGTTCTTTTTTTTTAGCAAAAATATAACTGTTGTTTTTCATTGTTTAAAGGTTTATTTTTGGACGGGTAGTCCAGCTTTACCAGCATCAGAAGCTGGTTTTCAACCTCAACCGTCAGTTACAATACGTCCAGCTGATGATCAACATTTACCAACAGCAAATACATGTATCAGTCGTTTATATGTTCCATTATATTCGTCAAAAAATATCTTAAAATTAAAACTTCAATATGCGATAAAAACAAAAATGTTCGGTTTTGTATAAATAAAACCTGATTGACAGTATTTTCTGTATGTTCGCATGTGTGTCTTGTTTCTATTTATTATCCGTATGTGTGTTATATTGATTGTAAAAAGCAAAAAAAAACCTAAAACAAATCATGAGAAAAACAAAAACAATGAACATACATACATATAACATGTGATCTTCATTTTTCTTTTGTTTCTTATAAAGTTCTTTGTTGCGATCTGTAGATTGAATATATTTCGATTTGGATTCTTGGGAAAAGTAGATATTGGCTTATTTTTTTTGTACAGATATCAAAGATTGATATATAACTTGTTATATATGGGGAAAATGCTGAGGATTTATATAATGTAAACCATGATGTTCTTATCAATTTTCAAGTAAATAGAAGATAGATGAAATTTACAAGAATATAAAATAAATCATTGAAAATAAGTACGGCTTGAATATCTAGTTATAAAGAAAAAGAGAGGTCATACTCGTGCAAGTGCAAAATTAAGAGAAAAGTCCTAATCATTGTAAACTATTTCCTGATGTTGTAGTGTAGTGTTTTGCAATCTGATCAGACATCTTGTCCAGAGCAAGGGACCAAATACAAAAAAACGTCAGATTGAATTCGTAGTATAGTCTTATTCTGAGATCGACAATAAATGAAATCTCGACATTCCAAAATATTTTTATTTTTTCAAATCACTAATTTATATAAAAGTATGGAAGCGCAAACAAATTCGATCATGATTCAACGATTTATTGTATATGAGCAGAAGTGAAACACAATTTTGTTTCACTAAAAGAATTCATTTATAATAAAAATTCATCTTCAAATGATGATGAACCACATGACACAGTAACGGAGTGCATAGAAAGGAAAATGAATTATTGAAAAGTCAACATGTATAATCATGTTGAAAATACTATTCATATACATCCATATTATGACGTTTAGCAACAAAACTGCATTCCATTCTATCATGATCAACAACAAGCAAATGTATAATTAGCGAAATTGAATGGATTTTAGAAGCAGACAACAAACAAGTGAATCCTGAATTACTTGTTCCTTTTTTACAAAGTTTGAGAACCATACTATGACTGTGAAAGTATCTGCTGGATGTCGATTAACTTCGATCGGATATCCGATACAGCTGTCCAGGTTCGATTGTAAAAATTTGTATCGATGTAGAATACTGTTTGAGTCCTTCTTTGATTATCACCATTGTGATGATCCATGTATTTTAGATGTTTTCATTTAAATATTGATGAAAACAAAACAGTACTTTATTTAGCAAAGGTCTGTATTTTCGTCTCAATAAATATGAATGTGATACACCTACAAATATAATCATCAAATTTTATTAGTCAAAACTTTTGAATTTTCATTTAATATTTTGATTTTGAATTATTTATTAATCATTTAAATATTCTTTTTTCCTTTTCATTTTAAAATATTGGAAATAAAATCGAGTGAAATATTTGATATGTAACATTGTGATTTACCATTACTACATTTGCTCTAATTAATTAATTGAATTTTATTTCTAATATATATTGTGATGTCATTGCTTTTCGTAATCTGTTCACAAATATCAATCGTCAAGTAGTATTCGACTACAATTCATTGTTTGAAATCTTTTTGTTGAAACATACAATAATATATGAAAACAAAACATAACATCTAGAAAAGACTCGTATCTATAAGTGCAACCGATTTGGTTTACTGAATTGGATTCAAAAACGTTACAATGATATTGCTGTTAACAAATTTCTGAAAAAAAATCTATATCAAAGGGGAAGAGTATGCAACGGTTAATTGTATTTTTATTTAACAATATGATTATGCATTGTGGTAAACATAAATTTATATTTTTTATCTGGAAGTGTGAATTATAAGGATTAGTTCTTTATTCGTTCAATTTTCTTTCAGATAAGAAATAATGATGAATAGTTATAATTTAACATGTCGAATAATTAATACTTTAAGTAAACAATAATATTTAAATTCTTTAGTAATTTTTATAATTAATATTAGAACGATCTGATTCAAATGATAATGATTCTCAATATTGTTAGACTTATTAAATCAATGATGATAAATAAAAAAAATGAAACAAAATATATTTTACGAATAATCGATCTTGCAAATTTAAAAAAATTTAACTGAATTTATTGTATGTTAATAATTCGTTTAAATTCAAATCATTATTTTTATTTTGTTTTCTTTCTTACAGAAAGAAATTTCATAGTAAAAACCAGTTAAATCATTTTAATTTAATGTCAATTAAAGATTATTTTTTGATTGACACTAAACTTCATCTTATTAAACCTTACGTTTCATTTGGTAAGATTAATGTTTCATATTAGCTAAAAAGAAATATGCATGCTATTATGTCATACAAGCTTCTATAATGTTTCAATTAGCATGATTGATCATTAGACTATAAGACTCTTCGTAAGAATACAGAATCTGCTTTGATGCGTTCTTGAAAAATAAAGGTATCCTCTCATGAATACGCCCATTAACTAGTTCTCAGACACAATGTACTTCAATTTTACATCAATCACTTTTGATTAAATACTTTTGTTTGATTCTAAATACCTTTCACCTTTTTTTTGTTTGTACTTAAATAAGTACGATGTAATCAATTATTGTTTTCGTCTTTAAAACACTAGTAAAGTGATTATATGATGTCGTATGATATTATTCAGCTTAATTATTCCCTAAGAGGCTATCTATCACGGATATCCAGATCAAAATTGCGTTTTTTGATTCTCCTATTGATCCAGTTTCGTCAACCTACTCCTGGACATATGGGCAGACAAATTTTTGGAAAGAGTCTGTTTGTTTAAATATACTGTTTCCTTTTTGTTAAATAAATAAATCAAAAACAGAAATTGATATAAAAAAAAAGCTGTTAGCATAATTCTTATGGATCTAAAATATGAAACACGATGTACTTTCTGTTGCTAATCACAGGAAAATTGCTTTACTCGATCTAGTTTGGGATGAACTTCTTCAGCATTCTTAGACTTAATCATGCAGAAATGCAATGAAGAAGTAATTCATATATTGTAACGAGACTTTATTTATATACAGTCTTTGACAGTTCCACATTTATGTCTGTCATGGTCAGTGTGAGGAAACAAGCAGAGTGACTTTTTTCTTCTAATTTTTTTTACATTATTCCTTAGAAATTTTCTGTTGTGGATAAAGAACATCTTCAATAGTTCGATGGCACATATTACCTATGTAAAATCGATATGCTGTTTGCATTTTTTTTAACAAAAATCAATTCTTATCTCTCAAGGAGAAACTAAATCAGATCATATTGTAAACAGTTATATATTAAAAAGATAGAAGATAAAATAAACGCCATAAGTATGGTCTGATCGTCATTATAGTTAAAATTCATTAAATATATACTGCAGAACATTATGTGCAAAACTCAGCTCAATATCAAAACAGCAACCCGAAGTGTTCTTTTATTGAACTTGTTTTAACCGAGTGGTTGATTAGATAACTGATGAATATCTTATCTTAAAACGCATAAATTTCCAATGGTTTCCAAAAAATACTGATATAGCGTACTTTTTCGAATATGATGCTTATAACACCTTTGTAGTGTATTATAGATGACGAGTGGCCAATTTTTAGGTGTAGCGATAAACTTTAAAATAGATCTACTTTGTTGTTCTTCTCCAATAGAAGAGCGTAAGATTGAAGAAAAAAAGAACATTCAAATCCACACTCGCAACTGATAAGTGAATGGATTCTCTCTAGTGTTGGAAAGCTTTCTTTCTTAACTCTTCTCTCGAACAGAAAATGAAATTCAAAACAAATCATATTACTGCTTGAGAAAATAACTATCTGCTCATGTAGTATAATCTTCAACTGTTTCAACTGATTCATTCAGTTGATTTTGTATTTAAAAATGTTCGTTAAAAGAGAAACTAATGAAGAAAATTTCCCAAAATGTTCAATCCACTTTTGTTCGAGACTATGTTTAGATTAAAGGTCGTGGTGAGTCATGTAAAAGCCTAAGAAAGTTTAATTCTCTAAGCTTTTGTTCTTGAGACATCGAATTTTTACCAAACTTTTAGCATCAATCTGTCGTCTTCCTCAGATGAAGATGAAAATCGTATTTCGAGTTTCAACTTGAAACTTTATACAAACGCAGGTCTCATTAGTACTAGTTCATTGTAAAAATTTCACTGTTTTAAATATTTGATCGCAAGACATAATAGTATAAGAAGAATGATTAACTTTTTTGTTTTATCAGAAAGTTTTTTCAATATTCATATGTCAGAGTAGGAGAAAATTCAATTTTTCCGGTGATTTGAGAAAACCTCAGCTTTGTGTAAAAAAAAAAGAACAGTAAAATTTCGATATATCAAGAATAGAGACTTAGACAACCGAACTCTTCTCTTAGGCTTTTACACTACTTCTGATGACGTCTCATCTCAGTATAGTCTCGATTGAAAAGTGATTGGATAATTGAGGATGTACTCGAGTGAGCTTTGAAATGTCACTAAAAAGTTGTATGAAAAAAACAAATGAACACTTTCATAATAAGTGTCTGAACGTCCCAGAAATGTTTAATCCTTTCTTTCTCGCTCAGTTTTAACGCACTTCTATTTACCTGGAAATCCTTTATGAATGATGTTCAGGAATACTTATTCTGTGGATATTTTTCTAAGGATTATTGTTATTGAAAGATCTTTATTACTCTGGGCAATTTTCCAAGGACATTTATATGTTCGTTATTAATTCAATTAGTATGAACTATATGATTCAATTGTTGATGATTATAAAAGATAGATTAAATCAAATCAATCATAAAGTAATATCTAAAAGAAAAACAAAAGAATATTTTCCTGTTTAATCAAAATGCTGATCTTCTAACTTCAAATCCATACGGTATATGCGAAAAGTTAATCACTCATATCATATGGCAAAAATTACAAGCTATTGGTTATCTTCAAGATAGACATATAATGCATCGGTATATTTTATAATTTTATTCATTTTTTATTCTATAGAAATATCTCTAGGAGTATTGCTTCAAAAAATATTAATCTTTGTGATAATGGTCGTGTTTTATTAGATAATTTTTCTCATTGTATGTTAATGATGTCATTATATGATGGAAAATTACGAAAACAAATTTATAATTATACAGATAAACTTCAAGATCAACTATTATATTTAGTATCAGAAGTTTTTTATCAAGTTTATTTAAATAAATAAATAAATAAAGGAAAACTAGAATCTATTTTCATTTTTCTATAAAATACAGATGATTATAATTTAAAAAGTGGTATATATAGTTTAGGTATAGTTGCATGTAAACTTGCTAATGGTTGTCATAATTATATTAACATGCCTTTTGGAAATTTAAGTGTATGAAATTCAATAATTTATTCAATGATATTTTATAAAAAAAAATTATATATGTTTAGATGTTATATGCTAAAATACAAGGTTCAGAACCGATTTTACTTGATCAAACTCAATTAACAGAAGAAAGTTATAAAGGAAATATTAGATGAATTTATAATTAAATATCTTATTTTGGATAAATTTAGTGATGACATTTAGTGATAATAGTCACAGTTTATATATTCAAGAAATAAAAAAACGAAGATACACAAAAGAATTTCATTCATTTATTAAATCGTGTGTATCAACACGTCTTGAACGAAGGTAAACGAAAAATTATCTGAGAAAAAAAAATGTTTTTCTGTATGTTATTAGATGTTCATCTGATGAATTACAAATATAATTCATTTTTTAAATATCAACAAAGATTAAATCATGATCAACATTTACTCAATAATGATATGGTTAAATTACTGGAAATATATAAAAGAAAAGAATTAATTAATTAATAATGAAGTAAAAAATATTGAAGAACTTTTTGGTAAATATAAACACACAAAGACAATAACATTGATACGTATGTGTATAAATTGTCAATCGAACGCACATTATAATGAATTGAAAATAACCTTGAATAGGTATTTTTATCGTAATCTCGATTCTTCTATCGAAAATATGAATATTTTTATCGTTGATTATACTAGAAAATTTGGAACTATCTAGTCGAGCTTTTAGTAAATTAGTGTTATATACCATGAGCACCAAAATTGTTCAACAAGCTTTATTTTCAGTACCATAAGCAATCGAAACAATCCAAATAGGGATTCAAATATTTTTCCATTTTTTCGTAGTACTTTTAACTTTTTAAGGAGAGATTGTAGATCTCTGGTTACTATCATACTTCATCGATGAAATCTTAGTAAAAGAAAACTTCATTGAGTGAATTTCTTTCTTCATTCGCATGTAGAACATGAATCGATTACTCATTTTCGTTCTCTATTCTACATAAATTAAGGTGGTACAGTTAGTCTTTGTTATCATAAAATGGGATTTGTTTTTCGATAGCAATCAAACCCATTGAAGAATTCAAGTTTGCCATTTTTATTTGTTTAGACAACCTCGTTTAGCCACATCATTCACTACATATCTTGTGTTTGTTCTCCTTCGCCTGATCAATTCTTATACGTTCGAAATTTTCAATTAATCTAATCAATCTTCTTTTTATTAATTGCTTTAAAAAAATGATACCAATGGAAAACAAAAAATAACTTGGGAATTTTAGTACAATCAAGCCATTAATATATAAAAATAGTAAAATGAATGCTGTATTATTTTATTTTTATTTTATTCGTGTATCTTTAATATATGACTATATTCTTTTGTTGCAATTTATTCTAATGATATCGTTTACATTTTAGATTAAAAAAATTTTCAACGAATTCAAGTATTCCATGGAAAAGTTTGAAGTACAAGGGACTTACTAAGACCGTCATAATCAAGATTAGACATAGATTACTCTTTTTTTTAATATGAATCTGTCTAGGGGTGCAACAAATTCTATTTTTTTATATAAAGATTGTAAATTTTTGGGATTAAGACCCACCAAATCTTTGTGTCGATTATAACCAGTTTTACTTGCTCTAATCGAGAATGGTGTAAAATGACCAAATCTAACCAAGAAACTTCTAAGATTTAGTAGGATTTGGTGAAAATATTACCAAATTCTACCAAATCTTAGAAGTTTCTTGGTTAGACTTGGTCATTTTACACCATTCTCGATTAGAGCAAGGAAAACTGGTTATAATCGACACAAAGATTTGGTGGGTCTTAATCCCAAAAATTTACAATCTTTATGAAAACAAATCGGATTTGTTGCACCGCTAGATCTGTCGTATTTCTCTCATTGAAAAGTTGCTCTGGTATCAAGTAAACTGTTGTGTAATAATTTATAAAGTGTCTCCAGAAATTGAACATACAGATTTAATTTTTATTTGTTTCGGTAATTGTAACTCGCATAAAAAATTGAAATGATAATTTGAATAGAGGGTTTTTTTTCAATAAAGATTTGATAAAAATGAAATCTTAATTGTATTTTCAAAATTTAGGTTATCTAGAAAATCAAACATGGAGTTATTCAGTACTCAAAACTTCAAAATAAATATTTCTTTTGATAGAACAACTAATTCTCTTGAAAAATAAGGTGTTACCAAGCTCTTCTTGACATTATTTGACTGAATTATATCAACTTTAATAGAAGCTCTAAAGTAGTTTTTTCCTATTTTCCATTGGAAAAAGAGCTTTTATGCTTGTCTTAACATTGACATACTTCACTCGAAAAATGTCATAAAGAGCTTTACGATATCTTATTTTCTAGAGACTTTGTTTCTCTATCAAAAGAAACATTTATTTTGAAGTCCTAAGTGCTGAAAAACAAACTTTTGGGAATGCAGTGAGAATTTCATCTTGCTCAAATCTTTGTTGGAAACAAATTTCTTGTCCTATAAAAGAGTGAGAAATCTTTTGGTAGCTAATTATGAAGATGAAAGAGAATGAATTGCTGATCGAAAGTTGTTGATTGTGAAAGTATACTCTACAATAAAAGCATTTATGTAGCCGAAAGAATTCTCTATTAGAATTAGTAGATCTGAAGACTTCAACACAACTGCTTGAGTGAGGATTTGTAGAAAACCGAGACTTTGACTTCCGTTTGAAGCTTTTTGAGAAAGATTTTATTTAATAGAGCAAATGATCCGCCTCCGATCTTCTCCCTCAAACGGCATTCAATTGACAAAAAATCCAAGAGACATATTTTCCTTTTTTATTTTTATTGAAAATTTCAATATTTTTGCCATATTTGACACTTTGGAATCTTCTGTAAATCAAATGCAGTTCGATGAAGGAAAGTTGGAAATGAATCATTTACTCTATCAAATAAAATCTTTTCCTTAAAACTTTCGAATGAAAACCAAAGACTTGATCTTCGATGAACCGTTATTCAAGCATTTGTGTTAGAGTCTTTGAACCTATCAGTCCTAATCGAGAATGCTTTCAGTTGCACAATTAATTTTTGAAATTCCTGTTAATTATTATAGAAATGGACGCGATAGACATTCTCATGAAAGAATAACAAGGAAAGATCACAGACGGACCTTGGTTACTATTCGAATCGCTGTTTCGATTCTTTACGTGAGTTACTATAATAGAAAAAAAATCGAAATCAGATCGATTTTCGAAGATACTCTATATCAATTACGCTTACTAACGTCAAAGAAAAGATCAAAAACGATTAATATATGCAAATGATTCTTATCTAAGACATCTTTTATACTTTATTAGTTATATTCAGTAAAGTATACATTATATAAAAAATTTGGTTAAAATGAATCTGTATAACTGTACAACAAAAATTAAAATTCGAAAGTTCGATAATCAATAATTTCATATTTTAATAGTTATACAACAATATAAAAATTGAGTGTTAAATTTGAAATAAATAAAACACATTTGTTGACTTGTGTAACAAAATAACGCTCCTTTCTTTTCTTTTTTTTATCTTTCTTCCTACATCTAAATTATGTTATGTGCAATAATGATCTCATTATTGGTAATAATTCATTCTTGTCTTTTGGTGATAATACTTTTCGTATGTTGAGTCGAAGTTGTTTTTCAAGTGTTTGCCAAGATATAAAATGACCAACAAGTTCAATAAATAAATACGTAGATTTTTCAAAACCATGACTTGTTTCCATATATTTCCATAATAGTTCTGTATAATAATTTTGTGCACGATATACAGTCATACCATCATTAAGAATTGGTTCATTGATATCAGGATCTGTTGAAAAACCTTTTGCTAATATAAATATAATAAGTGCTAATTGAATTATTCTTTGATCATATTGTGCAATGCATACAAATGAATTAAAGATTTTTTTAATTTGAATATATATTTCATTTCCATGAACTTCTTCTAATATACTTGAATTCCATGGTACATCAGAATCAGTTTCCATGATTTCATTAGTTTCACTTTTATATGATAGTGTACCATTAAGCAAGATCAATGGTAATAGATTAAATTTAATTAACGTAACTTTATCATCAACATTTAATTCATTAAATTCAGGTATCTGTTTGAAAAATGTTAAAAGACGCATTATTGGTACTGAACAAGAATTTATATACTGTAAAACGGTTGTTGCATATATAGTTGGATCCCATGGAAGACCATCACGAGCAGCTGAAATAAATTTATAACATCCAAATTATTAACTTACATGCACAAGAATTGTAAGAGATCGAATCGAGTTTTATTCTTACGAATAGTGGATATACTTAGTAGTGTCCAATAGTATGCATTTAGATTAGATGACACTGGTACGACTTCACTCACGATGAAAACATTCGAGATGATACTTCGCGTTTGAGAGGAGATCTTAGTCATTGAATAGGGCATGTTGAGACTGAAAGAAACATAGAAGGATTCTTTCCTATGCGCTGATCTATTGGGATTATAGTCTTTGCACTGGGTATTTTTACATTTGACATGGTATTTATAAACAAACCGGACAAATGAAGTTTGGCTTACAACAGTGTCCACAGACAAAAAACTATAATATTTCATGTAAAATCTAGTTTTTGTTTGTGGATTTGATATTTCGAGACAAATCCATTATTTTTGACTGAAACTTTTCGGAGATTCTAATGACTGTAAGATTTGTCCATGAACAAAGTTTTAGAACAAAGTTCATATGTTCGGTTATGTATAAATACTATGCCATAGGAAAAATTTCAATGTGACGGTTCTACTTCCAAAAGGACAGCGGATGAAGAAGAATTCTTCTATTAGGCTTCTTCTGGTCTCAACAGGTCCTACACAATGATTATAGTCTCCAGTTAAACACGAGAAATCATCTCGAATGATTCCTTCATCAGCAAAGTAGATTTTGTATCATTATGCAAAAGATACTATTTGAATTTCGTAGCTGAAATACTGCAATTGAAGTCATTAGTTAAATTATCGAAGAAACTAACTACTTAGAAATCAATAATATCAATAATAAGCTGATATGTATATTTAGTCGTAGTCAATGGATTACGCCGTCTTGCTAAGCACTACGAAGTGCATCAATCATTCATACGAAAAAGATTTAGTTTATGGAGTTACGAGGTAAACTTAGCCGTGACTTGACCCGAAATTCACATAAGCTATTTATTGTTACAAATGAAAGAAAAATAGTTCAGATAAATTGATTAGAATGTCAAATGTATAAATTAATTTAGTTTTATTGAATTATTCTATATTTTCTGTGACCATACTAACCGAGTTCAATACGTTGTTCGTATGAATTTTGAATAGTTTCTATACGATGTAAATCCTCTTTAGTAAGTAATGTCCGTCGT